AAAAAGAATCTGTTCTCATACTGGCATTTAAAACAGAAACTGTTAATTATGCTAATTTTTACAAACTAGTGCAGTAGCTCTTTTTCACCAGGGAAGGATAAAATAAGAGAAATTCATGTAGAAGTTATCAACATTCTTGTAATTTTTGTCCTTGCTGATAATATAAAGATTTAAAAGATTCCATGAAGTAAATGGTGATTTCTGAATATTAGCCAGATTTTACACTTCTAGAACATAATGTGATGAATTCTCTAAAGAGCCATAAAAAATTGCGGTACATGTCTAGTGCTCCAGTGGCAAGTTGATTGATCACATGCACCATAAAATATTACTTCTGTGATAGAAAAATGTTTGTACTAAAATTCATGAAATGATGTTGAACAATATATTCAAAGTCAATGGTCAGTGTCCTATATACCAAGTTTTATACTGTGTTGTGTGGCAATGATAAATACTAGAATCTTGCTGTTGTACATCACACATTTATAAAAGGGAAGAGCATGGCTGTATTACACCCAAATGGGAGGGACTGGAGTGGACATGTGAATTCGGAACCAGGCTGTGGGCAGCTCTGAGCCTGCGGCTCCCTCTCCAGCCCTGCAGCAAAGAGCAGAGCAGCTGTAGTGGCGGCCTCTGGGATAAGTGAGCACATCCTCAGGAAGGGCCCTTGGTGCTCACCTGCCTTTTACTTCATTTGTAGTAGCAAGCAATTGTTCCCCAGCAAGAAGACCATCTGTCTTACCACTGTCTGTTGCAAACCTCGACATCTAGCTTGTTCCATACTGCATCTGAGAGTATGAACAATTGTTTTCTGCAACAGAATTTATTCCAAATTTTTAAAATCTGGGTTATTATTAACATCAGCACTGGAAAGCTGTATTCTTGACTATCAATTTAAATGATCCTTTAAATATGTGCTGTTCTCTTACTGGGCTAATAAACTCTGTAAATATGTGATTATAAATGCATTGACTTTATGATGCTGTTTAAAGATCATTATGGAAAAATAAAACTGCCTTAGATTTTACAGGGTGAAATATGTACAATGATGGAATTCTCTAGACCACCACTAGATGGTACATAACACCTATTATAGTATATTACTGTACAGAACTTTCATTGCAGTTCTGCTTTTTTCAGGTTCTTTCCAAATGGCATCTTAATGACTGCAAGTCTAATTATAATTAAGATTAATACTATAATTAATATATATGTAATGACTTCCATAGCGCTCATCCAATAATACTATACTTACTGAGTGACCTTAAACAAGTCACTTATTCTTCCTGTACCTCGTTTCCTTATCTATGAAATGAGAATAGTAATTACCTACCTAGCTCATAAGAGTTATAACAAGTTAGTGAGTAGGTATATTTAAGCATTTAGGCAAGTCCTTGCCACTTTATAAGTTAGCTATTATAATTATCTTCCAGGTACTCACTCTGCATGACACTTGTATAAGAAATCTGTGTATGTATGTATGTTTTCCGAGTTTTAACTTTCCAAAGTGCAGAACTGAGACTTGGACTAAGATCTTTGCTGCTCCACACTATGATGACTATGTGGACTTAAATGCCAATCAAAGAGCTTTCTCACTGTGCTGTGCCAGGGCTCTTTACACATCCAATTTGTTTGTGTTAGCTACTCCATAGTCAACATTTCTTGAGTGACGACCATGTACCAGAAATGGTGGTAGGTTCTGGGAATGTTACCAGTTTCTAGGGAGACAGGTACCTTTTGCCAGCAAGGAAGTGGGGTGAAATAGAATAACAGTCAGCAGGCAACTATCGGTGCTACACATTCTTCCTAGGAGAGAATTGTTTTGTTTTAATATGGATGCTGCCTTAAACTTTTAAAAAAATGACTCAGTAAAATGGAATGCCCCAAATTCAAGCATATAGTAGACCAACTCTAGAGAAATAGATAGACCTTTATTTCCCTTGAAACCTCTCCACATACAGAGTACAGTCATGGCTTATTTGCCCACACTTCTGAGTCAAAAATATCCTTCTTTCTGGAACTGACCCTCTCCCCTCTCTGTTCAGATGGTTCGAATGGGAGCTGTTACATTATTTTTGCTCTAATCCCCAACCCCCACACACGTCCTGTGATGCTGACAGTCCAGGATTCGGCTCCAGGCTCAGGCTGGGTCTGACAGTTCTTCTTGGTCACCTTTGCTTGCTGGTTTTGGGGCCCAGGGCCAACTGCCCCAAGATATCCCACCACCGGCACATTGATTCTTTCAGACTAGGACTCATGGACAAAAACAATGGGGGGGTTTGACTGTGGGAAGCGGGGGTGGGTAGGGCAGGGGAGGGTAATGGGGAAAAATGGAGACAACTGTCATTGAACAACAATGTAAAAAATAAAATAAAAATAAACTGATAAACTAAACCAAAAAATAAAAAACATTAAATAAAAGATATCACCAGGCCAGATGGCAAAAAAAAAAAAAAGACCAAGTTGGCTTCCAAGAAAAATGCCACCTAAAGGATATTGGAATCGATGAGGGATGAGGGGGGGGAAGCCTTAACTGGTGAAATTCTAGAAGGGAGACTGGTCTTTGGGTGCCTTCAAAATCAATAAGGGTATTTCTAGTGGAACAGAAATGTCTTACATGTCTTCCCTGTAGGCAGATATGTAAGAGATTGCACATTTTCACTTCTTGGAAAAGATAATAAATACAGTAAAACATGTGAAAAAATAAAATAAAATGATTTGAGAAGCTGCCAGAGCAGGAGGAGTGCTCCAGCTCTGCTCTGTCTCTTGAAATGCAGGAAATAAATCTCCATGTGATATGTACCCTCCACACTCATATGGGCTGAGAGATGGCATTATTGCAAGAGTTATAAATCCAGAATTGGAAAAGCCTGCATAAATAAACCTTGTTACACCTTCACTAATTTACTACCTAAGCCCAAGCCTTGCTTAGGTTCCTTGCAAATGAGCACTAACTCTCTTTGTCCTGTCAATTACTCACATATATATTGTTTTCTTGTCTAAAAAACTCCTACCCTTTGTGGCAGCATGGATGGAACTGGAGATCATTATGCTAAGTGAAATAAGCCAGGCGGTGAAAGGCAAATACCATATGATGTTGTGGACTGCTCTGCCTGGTTCTAGGAATTGTAACTCTACCCCCTGTAGCTAAGGGTGAGCAACCTCACCCTTAGGTGAGATTGACCTAACCCCTGTGGCTTAGGGTGAGCAGACCTAATCAACAAAATAAACAAGCAAGCAAAATATAACTAGAGACATTGAAATTAAAAACAAATGGACTATAACCAGGGAGGAGGGGGGAATAATGGGGAAAAGGGTGAAGGGTTTTCAGGAACTACTATAAAGGACACATGGACAAAGACAAGGGTGGGTAGAATCAGGGGAAGGAGGTGGGAATGGCTGGGGTGGCAGGGAGTGGTGGGGGAAAAAGGGCAGAAAACTGTATTGAACCACAACAAAATGTAAACTATTTAATAAAAAAGAAGCTATATAAATAAAACTAACATTTTCAATTTTTGAAAATTTAAGTATTTTTGAATGATTCTATACAAATAAAATTATTAATTTTTTTAAATGAGCCTACTTTGATCACTTCTTTGAGCCTTATTTTATGACCTGAGTATTGTATCATATTGTGATTCTCCTGTATACACATATTAAATTTATCATTTCATTAAGTAAGTACAGCTGTGAGAACTAAAGGGTGGGGGGGCTGAAATTCCTTCTTCCCTGACACCAGAATGGGGTCAAAATCTGTATTACTGGGCACTGCTGTTTATTGATTTTTTATCTTTTTTTTACTGAGAACACTTTTGCTTTTTTAGTGTCATCTGTCTTCACGTAATTTGAGAATTTGGTTTTGTATACACATATCATAGATGTGTAGTTATTTCACATTATTCAGGAAGAAGATGTAGGGAGAAAGTTTACTGCATACAGTGACCAGAAAATTGTCTTTTTCATTCAGTAAAAACTGATTCATCATCTTGGTTCATCAAAGATGTTTTCACTTCCTCAACTTTACAATGGTGTCTTCCTTCTCTGAGAACAGTTATTGTGAAAACTGCTAATTTTTGTAAATGCATATGATTCACTGGCAAGAGTCCTAGTCACTTGATTTGTGTGGGGTTTTTTTTTTTTTTTTTGGCTTCTCAAAGTAATTCTGGAACTGGGTTGTATAATCTTCATTTTAACAATAACTAAGCTGTGGCATGGAGCAAGCTAGAAAAATTGGCCAAGTTCACTCTGGTGGAAAACAATAGAACTGAGATTTAAACTACGCCTTCCTATTCCAGTGCCATATTATTTAAACCAATGTATATGATTTTTCCCCAAAAGTTAGTGGGTAGAATTAGCCTGGGATAAAGCTCTGGGAAACCTTCCTATGTCAGCTCTGGGAGTCACCCCTTCTGACCAGTACATTTGTCTCCTGAAAGAGAGCCGCTTTCACCCTTAACCATTCATGATCACATGTGGACTGAGGAGAAGAAAGAGTACACAATTGCTAGAAACGTGTGAGCAGTGAAAATGCACACCCACACAAAAAGACAGATCAGTTAGGTACTCTGCTTGTCAGTTCAGTTTCATGAATTTCAAAATTTTAATTGACAGTATTTTTTTAAATGTTCTGGATTTGGGTTGTAAATTAGAAAAATATTGCTTTAAATGTCATGAAAGTAGATTACATAAGATAACAACAAAAAAGCCATTGCAGGTTTAATGTCTGTTTATTATTTTATCAAGGATTTATAATAGCTTAATAGAAACTTCTTTAGATATTCAAAATTATATATTGATTATTTGATAAATCAAGAATTATTAATTGAGTAAAATAATCAGAACAAAATTAGAATTTATAGTTAGGAATACATGTTCAAAATCCTAACAAATGAGCATAAATCTAAAACAACAGAAACAAGAAAACCATATGCTTATGATCAAGTTAAAATTTGAAATTGCTGTGTCCAACAAATTAAAAATGTGTACTGTTAGCTCATTAATTACTCTGGAGATGCTGAATTAAACTTTTCAAGAATCGTTTCTATGACCTCTAGAGTTTTCACTCTTGCATTTTGTGTCTTCAGGAAATATTTCCATATTGTCAAAGATAATGAACCTGAAAAAGTTATAAAATTTTTACATATAAACATAAGCCCAACTATTAAAATGTTTAATTTAAATTCTATATATTTTGCAAACAAATATTGTATATTCATTCCATGATGATTCACTCATAATTTTTTATGGACTTTATTGGGATGACATTGGTTCCCAAAACCATATAGGTTTCAAGAGTACAGCGCAATAAAGCGCAGTCTGCATACTACATTGTACATCCATTGCTCCGAGTAAAGTCTCTTTTCGTATCCACTTTTCCTCCCTTTCACCCCCTGCCCCTCTCCCCACCCATCTTTCCTTCTGGTTTACACCACACTGTTGTCCCTGTCTATGCACACATAGATTTTTAAATTTAAAATTCATTGACCAGCTCTTCACATAAATATCAAAAGAAAAATTAGGTAGCTCACCAGATAATAGTGAAGTAACATTTTCTACATAACACACCAGCACAAAGTATAGAAATTGTCCATATGAGAGGTGTTGGAGAAAAACAGGAACCTTAATTCATAGTTTTATGAAAAAAATTTAAACTCCTGAACACTCTTTTGAGTACCATTGTGCAGTATATGATCCACCAATTTTAATTCATTTCCTTTCTACAAATTTATGTTAACATAATAAATTATGCCCAAAAAGTATGCATAAAATGCAGTTTTTGTTTTATTGCCAATACCTTATAACATAAAATGATCTCCAGTTATGATAAAGTCATCAAATAAAGCACTATATATACTTCAAGTAAAATAGTTGGATTAATACATCTTGATATAGAAAAAAGCTCTAAAATTTTTTCAGTTAAAAATGTGCAGTCCACAGTCGTGTGTATGATTTCATTTGTGTTAACAGCGCAGGTTTTATATATTCATTTATTTTCATTATTCTATGTATAAAAGTACAATTGTTCCAGAAATATTGACCAAAGACTGATTTTTAAAAATTGAGTGAACAACTAACAATGTAATTGAAGGGAGAAGGTAAAAAAGATTTATTTTCATTTCATGTGTTTATACTTAGACTTTAAAACTTTATATGTGTTAAATATACTTTTAAATACATCAGGAAAAAATACAGCAATTAAAATGTGTTTTAAGTAAAGAATAACTAAGAGTTTTAAAAACAATTTTTGAAACAAAAAACATTTCTGGTTATATCGTTAATATACAAGAGGTAACAGTTCAGAAATATCCAGAACAATTGGTCCCAGGTCTACATTTTTTCCTTCCTAGACTCTGACAATGAGAGGATAATGCTTGATTTCCCTTTAATTTTCATGAACATCCTTTACTCTTCCTCATGTAGTTGTAACATCTTACCTGATTGGTGGATGAGGGCATTTCTTTCATGTTTCTCAGTTGGCTAGAGCTAATCTACTAATGTCTTAAGACCCAAGAATAGCTATTTTTTCTTCTTTTTTATCTAGACTAGTTAGGTTAGTTTAAATGTTTAGATTTGATAACACTGAATCAGTTCTACCTTGACACACCTAACAATAGCAAAGTGCTGAAACACCATATTCTTAACCATCCTAGAGTACAGATTTCAGGGTGCAGGGCGATTTGATAGGGAGAAAAAGGATAGGCTTTAAATGAATACTTCCAGGATGCAAACTACTGGATCATTCACCAGCTTTTAAACTTACAAAGCCCCGAATTCTTTATCAGTAAAATATGGGACCACCACCAGGCAAGAAAATTCAATTGCATGAAGCCCCTAAAATATGTGGGTATATTTGTTACTTGAAATAATGCAAATAAGATTTCAAATAATACACTTAATGTAATTGTATTTACTGTGCTTTTATATCTTTCAGATTTTTTGCCTTTTTGTAGTTGTATTTACTGCACTTTTATATCTTTCAGATGTTTTATATCTTTCAGATATTAGTAATCTAAAAAATACTAATATTTTAATTATGTTTTAAGATTGGTTCACTGCATAAGAGCATATCTGAAAATCTGTGATAATGTAGTTATTCAAACATACAATGACAGATTACTGAGTTTTTCATTCTGCTAGAGAATCCTACAGTTGAGGAAATGGAGCAGAATCTGTCTTCCATGACTAGTTAAAGCTGGAGGAGACTGTGTACCTAAATTGATTTGATAGTTTCCTTATTACCTGTAGCAGGATTTATTCTGAAATTCCTTTTCATTTTCCTAAACTTAAGAGTCATGTATAAGTAAATAAAAATAGAATATTATAACAACTATATAGCTACATATAGTCATATACATAGATATAATAGTATATATATATACATACATATTTATATATACGCATATAGATTTTAGATTAAAAAATAGACTTGACATAGTCTGGTAGCTTCATGGGTCAATAAGAACCTATGAGAAAATACAGACCATGAGTGGAAGGATCAAAATGTGTAAAATAGATGCCCATGGGAAATCATGACTTTCTTTGAAAGCATGTGTTATAATTGTAAACATCTATATATACATACATATACACATATATCTCTGAGATAATCATGATTTCTTCCTTTAAAATTCAATGTACTATTGATTTTCTTTAACCTATTTTTAAAATATCCTTACCTGTCCAGTTATTCACATCTCGAACAAGACTTAGAATAAACAGAAATACGTTTTGACGTTGGCTAAAGTCACTGATGAAGGGGACTTTATCCCCATTCACAAGCATTCGTGGGGGCATACTCTTCTGCAATTCATATATTCTGGTCAAGGTTGTAGGTAACCTTAATGCACTTATATAGTCCACATCCACAAGCCATGTTCTCTCAAAATCTGCTTCTGGTTTAGAATAATATTCCAACCTAAAAGAATAGTGGATATATGTACAATTATAACTAGCACATGCAGAATTTTAGCTTAGTATTTTCTAGAGAAACATTCTCCTTGGTTAACAAACTAAGAATGTAATTCGTAGTTCTAAAATGTAATGGCTTGAGGTCCTATCTTTGAAAGTACAAGTATAGTTAGTTAATTTTTTTTTAACTTGAAAGGACCACTCAATTGTTAACATTTGGAATTTTTGTCACTCTTAACAAGGTTTGTATTTACATATTATATAATAAGCAGATGTTACACTATTAATAAGTAATACTGTTTAGAAATATACAGAATAAAGTCAAAGTTTCCAAGACAGCATTTTTGCTAGATTCACGCACTCTCTGTAACTATTGATCTCCTAAAGTCAGGAGGCCCCTAAAATGTTGAGCATCCTGGAGAAATAGGTGTGTGTTTTTCTTCTCTAATTTTCTAAATACATAGACTCTTCCTGCATGGATGAAGTCTTCTAGGAAACCAAACTCTTTCACATATTTCGGGGACAAATTATTCAATGGTAAGAATAAGTATATGGTAAATGATTTTATAACTATGTAATTCATAATTCCTGCCTCCATCAGCTATCTAAACATGCTGAACAACTTGCAGTGTTTTTTATCACAGACTCATTCTTCCAGAAACATTGTCTACTCTCTGCTTTGCAAACCAGCTACATTTTCTTTCAAGTGTCATCCTTGATGTCACGCCCTTCATGGTTTTTCACACCTGAGAAAGAATTGGCTTTCCTCCTCTTCAATATTCCCATGGTACTGCGTCATTCATATATTTAAAATTTGTTTTTCTCATTAAAATATATTCTAACTTCTGTTTCCAAATCCCATATGCTGGGTTCATTAAATAGAAAATGCTTACATTATATTTCCCCACGTTAAAGGGGCTATAACATAACCCACAGGTGAAATCTTGCTGTGTTTGGTTCCCATGCTTGTGGGCTCCTGCCTGACCCCAACATCCAGAAGTAAGAGAGTGGGGTCAGTGAACCCTTGATGAAAGACAACTGTGGCCTAGATTCACAGTCAACTATCTTTAGTCAGATCACAGCTGACTATGAAATAAAAACAAAAATATATGTGAATTCACAAGGATTCTGAGCCATGGCCTCAAAGCCTTATGAGCAACAAATTAAACAAATTGTGAAGGAAGACATGAGAGCACCCCCAGTTTGGGACACAGAGATCGTATGAGCAGAAGTGTAATTCACCAGAAGTCTTCCAAATGGTTTAACTGACTGTATAACTGAATAATTTATCTAATGGCAGTTGAGATGTGATCAAATAAAAATATAAAAATATATCTTAAAATTTTGACTTTAACTATATATATATGCATACTCTAAGCCAATCTCATACTCTAAGACCACAGAGTTTTATTTGTTATATAGGCTACACAGAGTCCAGCATATTTTATGTAAATTAAAAATGCTAGTATAATTTTTACTTAAAGAAAGTAATACATGGGATTAAGGAAGTGCCCCAGCATTTGTAGATTGCACCTAAGACCCCAATTTCTCAGCACTCTCTGTGTCCCTGTGTTCTGGTATAGAATTTTCCATTTCTCCTTCCCTGCTACAGTGGGAAGTGGGGAGGAAGGAGAACAGCATAGTTACCTACCATTGGCTCAGCCATATGATTTGAATTAACCAATAGGATATCAACCAACTTGACACAGCATATGCTCAAATTAAGTTTTCACAACTTGCTTTCTCTCTCTTGCCATTTTGTCAACACTGTAGAAAAGAGCTAAGCTTGCCCTATGGAGGATAAGAGAAAAGTGGAGCAAAGCTGAGCTTCCCCACTCAGCCCTGTGGAGCCAACAAAAATCAACCAACATGAGGTGAGCCCGGGAGATGTCAGGAGAGCTGTCCAGCTAACCTCAGATGTGTGAGCTATAAATGCGTAGTGCACTGAGGTTTAGTGATCATCAGTTGTACTACATTCTTGTTAGAAAAACTGGATGAAATACAGTTCTACACCCCAATAAAGTGCAGAGCCAACATTTAAATCCTGAAGATCTGGCTTTACAGCTTACATTCTTTTCTAGTACCCTCGACTACTTCTTGTCTTGATGATAACAGATAATTTGTATTCAGTGCTTCTCATGTGCCAGAGGTATGATAAGCACGATGCATGGACTCCTCAACTAATCCTCAAAACTATTCTGTGTGGTATGCCAAATTATTATTACAGGTGTAAAGGTGGTGAGACTGAGTTTAACACTGTTGGGATCCCCAGACTACTGGAATCAAATCTGTTTGACTCCAAAGCACAAGATGTTAACTTCTACATTGTTACATTTTTTAAAGAAATAACCAATAGTCTAAAAGCACTCAAAGAAAATTTTAGGACAAATCAAAAGGGACATAAGCAAGCATTTGAAATCTTCCATCTTAAAAATCCTTAAACAATTCACTTTCCATCAACATAAGGTATCAGAAGAATTCTATTTTGCAGAACTCTTTTTTTGAAGTTTTAAGTGACACGAATTGATTGAAAGCCTTTGTTCTTAAATGCAGTTAAGATGTCTGCAGCCACAAGTCATATCATTCACACTGCCAAGGGAGAAGACCCCTCTGTTGCCCAGGTTAACTAAGTTGTCCAAGCCATTATAACGGGTAGAGGAGGAAATGTTTTGTGGGTCTGATAATCAGGTTAATTACTTACTTTACTGGATGATGAAGTCCACGAGAGAAACAACCAGTGAAATATGAGATACTCAAACATTCCTGCTTGGATCTACAAAATTACTTATAAAATATGAATGGTCCTTGATTGTTTTTGTTGTTCTTATTTGTTTGTTTTGTTTTTTGTTTCTTTTACCATACCCAGATTTCTACCCTCCACCTCACTTTTAGGGTTAACTCTACCTCTAAATAGCATTTGTGATGGTGGCTGTGCCACAGCACAGCCAGCTGTGGATTAGCTGTGGCTAATCTGGGTGATTCTGTGAGAGTGTTTTTGGAAGAGATTTATATTTAAATCAGTAGACTGAGAAAAGCAGATTGCCCTCCACAATGTCAATGGGCAGCATTCAATAAGTTAACTGTTGAAATAGAAAAAACTGCTAATCTTACTCTGAGTAAGAGAAAATTCCTTTAGCTGAGGCCTTTTAAACTGGGGCGCAGGTTCTTCCTGGGTCTATAGCAGTTGCCAGCCTTGAACTAAAGTTGGACATTGGCTTTGCAGATTATGGATCTGCCAACCTCCATAATTATAGGAGTTACCAGGAGTTACTTTCTTATCATCACTCTTTTTCTCTCTTTCCTACTGTGTCTATTTCTCTGGGAAACCCTGAGTTATACACTGTCCTCATAATCTAAACACAAATTATTCTTAAACCTTCACATCTGGGTACATAATACTACCAGGTTTACATGTGGAGCGACTTGGTAATTTTCCAGGCTATTTTGTGTGCTAACAACCCAGATGCTGGTTGATTTTTTTACCCCAAGTGTGTACCTATTACATTGTGTGTCTATGATCAAAATAATGAATAAAATCTCTCTTTTTAAATAAAGAAATTGGTTGTATGTTTTACTTGTTGATTGGTTGGTATGAGATTTTTTTTAATTTAATTATTGTTCAAGTACAGTTTTCTGTCTTTTACTCCCATCCCAGCCCACCCCCCCCCAGTGCTCCCCACCTCCCTCCCATTTCCACCCCCTTAGTTTTTGTCCATGTGTCCTTTATACTTGTTTCTGTGAATCCTTCCCCCTTTTCCCCTGAAATTCCCTCCCCTCTCCCCTCTGGTCCCTTTCAGCCTGTTCTCTATTCTTACCTTTAAGAGGAACCTAAACAAGAAAACAAACAAGCAAGCAAAAATATAACCAAAGACACTGAAACAGAGGACAGAGATTTTCTTCCCAAGTTTGTGCCCCTTCACAAAACATTTTCTGACCCTGATCATACTAAAATATTTACACCTCATCAATAAATACCTCAGCAATTAGATATATTATTTAATGGGAAGACTGACAGTCACATTAGAAGAATAAAAAAGCATAAATAAACCTTCAAAATATTTGCCATATTAAGTAAAGTAATTTGGGATCTATGCTTACCTGTGTTCAAATAGTTTGAAAACATCATGCAAGGTTTGGGTATGCGCATCCCATAAGTACTTCAGCAGGTCCTCAAAGCTACTGAAAGGTGACTGCAAACGCTATTGCGAAATGGGAAAATTTATTCATGTTTGAGCGAATATAGTAATTTCTCTCCCTACAATTTAATCTTATTCAAATGGATAATTTAGCAATTTTCTACTTAATAGGAGAATTTTGTTTCTAAAAGTTAATTTGTGTAAGTCATCAGTGACTAACACTCTGGAAAGACTATAATAATGATCTATTATTAGTATTAATATTGAATGCATCTATAGGAAATGAACTGCAAATATTTCCCCAACAATCAGGACTTTTTTGTTTATCATTTTTTTCCTCTGCTGTCACAGTTGAAATTATCACAAAAATTAAAGTTTAAGAAAAGAGAAAATGTCTTAGAATATTTAATTTAAGCCTATCTATACTGAGGAACTAAAACTATAAAGCTAGAAAATCTATGTTTTTGGCATTGATCTTGGTCCATGTCTATGTTTAACCAATGTATCTTTTCTTGGTCATTGAATAGTTGGTTTTCATTGCCCCATAGCAGTTAGTTCTACCTATATGTGATCATTTATTGATGCAGTTTAAATAAGCCAAAGGACTATTTGCAAACAAACTCCATGATCAAATTTCTGTCAAGAGTTAGCCTGTGTTTGACCTGAAGTTCCAATTAACCAGCATAGTTTCATTCAGAGAGAAACCTGGGTGCTCGCTCTCACATTTACATATAATTTATTTATGAGATTGAGTGGATAGATTTTGCGTCAATGCTTTATTGGTTCAGAGGATGTTAATGACTTGTAATGCCCTGCTGCGATGTAACAATATTAATATAGCTTACATAAAAACTTACATTTTTATACTTAGGAAAATACTGGATAATACACACAAAAACCTAAACCAAAGCATTATGCACAGAAAGAAATTGTCTTACCACCTCCTACAAGAATAAATTACGAATATAGAAAAGAACCTTGTAGAAGATATTCCACTTTCTCATTGCTATAGGAATGGATGACTGGCAAGTAGAAACATTAACACAAAACTTCATCTCATCCTTGGGTGGTGGCAAGAGTATGACTTGATCTGATGATATTCCCATTATGCCAGAATCAACCGCAGCAAGGAAGGGTAATGCACAGAGGAAGTAGTTCATGTCTGTAAGAGTAAAATATATATTATCACCACAAGCACTAACAAATGTGATAAAGGACATTTTTAAGTAATCTGTAAACCATTGCGCAAAACTCACGAACCAGAAATATATAAAATAATCACTATAAAGAATTAAAAATCTTCGTAAGGATTATATATATAAATGTAACATACTTGTATTCATAGCTCTATGCTCATACATAAATATCAGTTAAAGTAGTTGATTATAATATTTTAAAACAAAAAAGTAATTTTAATGGATTTGGTAATATATATATGTTTTCAAACCATTAGGTATGAAAGGAAGATAGGCATCTACTTGTGCACAGAAAAATATTGTACCTCTAATTGAGATTTTAACATAAGATGTGACATTTTTATCTAAAATATTGTATATATGGTTAGAGCATTGATATTTTGTATTTTATTTAACCAAGTTCAATGTGCCACCATGATATCACAAAGTCCCTGTATTACATTAAGTCTTTAAGGCAAAATTTTGGATAAGTGTTGACAATAGATTTTTGGATATTTAAATTGACACTGAATTAATGTTTTTCTCTCTACATGTAAGCTACCCATTCCAGCAGATTAAGACATTATAATATAGTTGGCTCAGAGCTTATACTGACCCCCAGTGGTAATGCAAACAATTTTTATACACATACATTTGTGAATGCAGCCGACGCCCCAGTGCATCAGGCTGACACTCCAAACTATTAAGTCAATCTGACAATAAAGAAACTTGATTCTAGCCCTTTTTTCTACATCTAGTGGGAGGATGAAGACCATTCTTGGCAATCAGGCTGCTGACACTCAAAAAAATGTCAACATTGCTTTGAAGGAACACACAGTTATTGTGAAGGGGACCAGGGGCACCCTGCAAACAGACTTCAATTACGTAAATGTCGAACTCAGGGCCAGCTACAGCAACAGCAAAATTCCAGATGATAGCTGACACTTATTTGTGATCTTTTAAAGATAAAATAAAAGAAGTGTATTGATTTGGTGAGGGGAGAAGAAATTTGACTTCAGAGATGTGGCCATGACTGTATGTTGATGCTTGAGAAGAATCAATCAAATCATATTAAAAAATATGTAAAGATGTATATGATATGTGTCACTCCAAGAAAGTGAACTTTAAAGTGATTTTGTTCCTAATTATTGAGAAATATCCTAAGAAATTGTGTGTAAATTACTTTCATTAGTAAATAATTAAATAAATTCAGAGAATTAGAAAATGCCTTATGACTATTTTAGTATTTAATATCTGACTGAAGCCTTAGATTATCGATTGATAAAATAACTTGTGATAGACTAATCTATGTTTACCTGTTTAAAAGTTAAACACACTTCCCCTTAGCAAAACGAGCAAAAGTATTATTTTCTTTTTATCTCATTTCTCATTTTCACTCATCCCTCAGACTCCCTGTCACTAGTGGGACCTCCTACCTAACTGCCAGTACCGGTCTGTCAGAGGCCTTCATCCTTTGCAGCTCCTCGTTTCAGTCCTTCTGCTAAAAACAGAATGTGTCCTAAGGAATCATCATTGCCATTGTGGCTATTAAATCCTAGAATGTGACAAAAAAGGCCACAAGTTGCGTGAGGAAGTACATTCCTTTTAACAAAGGAATAGTACCACATAAGCTTTGTCTCTGCACCTAGAACTTAATGTTGAACACATTTTGGAGAGAAAGGCTACTATCTCTTTTCTGTTTCAATGAACCTACCAGCCCACCAACTGTCCACAGAGATGCACAACCGATCTCCAGATTCATAGCCACAGTCTGTCCTCTGGCTGGGATCAGCTAATCGACCTAGGAGTGAGGGATGCACAGATTATTTATTATGCACATTTTGAAACTGGTAATAATTGTCACTTAATTGGGTGTATTATTTTGCAAGAATGCACAAATATTTTTAAAATTATTTTTATGTTTCAATTATAGTTGAGCTCAATACTATATTAATTTCAGATGAACGGCATAGTGGTTAGACATTTATATAACTTAAGAAGCTATCCTCCCCATAAATCTAGTACCCAGCTGACATCACACAGTTATTACAGCTTTACTGGGTACTTTCTCTATGCTGTGCCCCCGTGACTATTTTTAACTGCTAATTTGTATTTCTTAATCACTTCACCCACTACATCCAGCTCCCAAAGCCCCTCTCATCTGGCAACCATCAGACTGTTCAAACATTTATTTTCTGATCACTGGTATTTTTCTTCTTCTCACTCTTTGCCCTTCATTTCTCTGCTCAGAACCAAATTTTTTCCTGTCTTGAGTAATACTACAAATTTCTACTTTTGAATTATTTGTCTTAAATATTATTTAATTGTGTAATTATTCTCTCTTGTACTTCCTTCCCTTCTTCCCCTCATAATTAAGAAGGTATAGGCACATAGATTAAAAGAGGCCTACAGGCAAACCAAATCCTGCCCTGTCATTTACTCAGTTCACCTTTGACAAAGAACTTCCCACTAATAGCTTAGTTATAGAATGGGGATAATGATATTAACTTTGTCATATGGTTGTGTGTTGAGTGAGAAAACCCATGAAAAGTGTTTTTTCAATGAGGGTAGTCATTCTTTTTCTCATCAGATGACCATTGATATCTTCTCAACCCCTCTGACTTTTCAGATTAATTTTGTCCTATTTTTCCCATGCTTATCCTTTGCATCTTCAAATTTTCTGCCATACTTTCTTCCCCCCTTTTCAACTGTTGCTCCCAGTACAGTTTTTTGTCTCGTTTTGTTTTACTGTTTTACTTTATTATCTTACCACTCTACAGCTTATTCTCCCCACTCTTTCTAACTTCTCTCTGGCTTCTACCTAAGACTTGTTCTCATTTACTTCAACTGCTTTCATGACTCTACTGACCATTATGTAGCATCTTTTGTTTCTAGCCTTTCTCCTGCTCACCCACTCTCTTCTCCTTTCATTTCTCTACATTTTCACCCTCTTCATTCTTTTTGTGTGTATGAGTTCCGCTCATCTCTTTTCCATTTACAGCTTCAGTTCTTTTCTTTCTTTTTATTATTCTCTATCACTCAGCCTTCCTTAACCTAATAATTCCCAAAGCAATGATTGTTCAAGAATTGCCAATGCTATTAGCTACATGAATATTAGAAGCGTGACTTTTCCTAAATGAGTAATCCTCAGACTGAAAAACTAGAATTAAAGATGTCTGTAAACCTCTCCTCCTCCATCTCTTCTCTTCCATTTCTTTGAGGGTTCTCCCGCCTCCTCTTTCCATCACTCCACCCCCCTTTTATTCTCACTTACTTTCTCCAAGAGTTCACCATGTAGAACACCTTCAAGTATGAACCTGATGTTGGTAACAAATATTCTTTAGACCCCCACTTCAGCATATGTCCTATTTGATTTGTTTTCACCTCTACTGAATATGGCTGAAATTGTACACTGATCTTGATACCCATGCCAGATCGAATACCTTTTTTTCTTTCAGAGGAATACAATTTTGTACTCTTTCATTTCAAGAACCTTAGTTCTTCCTTTTTTTTCCCCTGTGTCCAAGCTGAAGCCATGTCCTGTCCTTTCTCTCTGAATAATCTTTCTGGCTGTCATTGTGAACATTCAGTCATTCAGATTCTTAATTTCAGAGCTGGATTGTCTCTGCACTATCTGATCTCAACCCAGCCACACCAGTACCTTGTTTTAATCCATCTAAACCAAAATACCCAGCCAGCTTCATGCAATTTTTTTTTAGTAAAAACATATCTGCTCCAGAACCTAAAAAATTTTATGACTCTTAAAACTTGAAAAACCAAACCCTAAGCTAAGTTTACCCAATGTATCAATAACATTAAATCCTACATATCAGGAAATACAGTATGTTGCTTTAATTTGATCTTCCATTGTTGACCTTCCAACAACATCCTTCCCTTCACTCCCTTTCTCTGTCTTCCCTCTTTTTCCCTGGCTCTTTTTTAACACACACACATACCCTACACACAATCACATACACCTGTGCCATGGTGTTTCCAGGCTCTGTCCTTTAGCTTAACATCTCATATTATTAAGTCAGATTAGAATTTCTAATGGTGGACCTAGGCAATGGTTTTTGGAGGGTTGTTTTGTTGTTGTTGTTGTGTTTTGTGGGCATGGAGAGAAGAAGGAAATGCCATTCAGTGCACAGAGCTCAACGGTGTTACTGCACCACTGTGAAAACAGCAGTACTGCAGACCAGCTCTGGGTCTGAGACCTTCTTTGGCACTGCCCCTCTCTGGCTAGGCATCTCCGCTTCCAGAGGTTTGCTCACTCTGCTCCTCTATTGTCAGCTTCACTGTGCTCTACTCCATGCAGGTTGCCTTCACTCTACTCTGGTGGGACATCCTTGGTATTTCAGCTCAGCCAGACAGGCACAGTCTTCAGCCTTTCATGGAAAGTGTGCCCCCCCCTATTTTTCAATTAAGCGGTAATATTCAGTGTGCATCCAGACCTGAACACCACAACTTTTGGTCAGTCTTTTATACCCTAGGAGATTTGTTTCTACTTCTCGAGTGAAATTCTGTCAGCATTTCAAGTCTTAGTTCAAATCCATTTTTTGTGATTACTCCAGCTCACTGCACACTCTTTCTTGTTCTGCACTTTTAACTATTGTCCAAGAGTTGTTATTTATTGTTACCTGTTTAATTTTTCTTTTTCATCCCAATGATGTTGTAAGATTCTTAATGTCAGGGAAACTGTCAGAAGTATTTACTTTCACCCCACACCCCACACTCCCACTGCTCTTAGAAAATGCTATGCACATGTGAGCCCATCACTAGGTGAGTTTATAGTCCACTCAGTTTCCAGCTACCACAAGCCTGCAGGCCCCTGAGGCTAACATACCTCCTGTAGTGAACAATTCGTTCACGATTTCTCCTGAACTGTCCTCTTTCTGACTCTAAGGGAACCCGCATACATAAAAATAGATTTGAGTCTCAAGATATCTCCTTACCAAGACGGATTGCTCACCAACCTCAGTAGCTTCTCCATGTGACCCCTGCTTAGACCTCAGATAAACACTGATCTCCCTATGTTTTTTTTTTTCCATTAGGAACTGAACTCATTTCCTTCTGTGTGGTGTTAATCAGTATGCCCTAGGCAACTCTTTTTCATGAGCTCCTTCTGTATGCCAAAACTAAAATATTTGTTAGATTCTGACTCTTTGGCACAAACATATCTTCTACATGACCCCTGGCATGTACTTCATTTGAAGAGAAACATCCTTGTGTACAAGGTGTCACCACATGCCATCACCCAAAAGGTAATCATAATCAGAACTCGAAGAAATTCGAACTAATTTGATGTTGCCTTCTGTTTTTAATATATCTCCCCTTGACTGTTTTGTTCACCTCAGTGCTTAGAATGGGTCTGGACTTTCTGGACTAGTAGAAGTTCAATAAATATTTTTCAAATGCTCAATAGATTAGACATGACACTTTTTGTGTTTGGCGGCTATACTGTGTGCTCATTGCATTTTCTAGTCAAAACAGGCAGCACATTAAAGGAGGATTTATGGAAGAGAAGGAGAAAAATAATGGTTATGTAGGAGGAGAGAAAAGAAAACAATCAATTTCAAAACCATGGAAAGACAATCATAGAGTCCCACTTCTCAATTACTATGTGGTTATACTGGTAGGTCATCAGATTGAAAACAAGAGTCACTCTTACCTGTATTATATTGCCAGCCATGTTGCAGAGGCAATCCCCACAATATATTGTTTTCATTTTCTGGTGCAAATTTTTCAAAATACCTGGCTGTCTGGGTCAGTAAAATTTTATACATCCCCATTCTCTCAGGATATATCCAGGGATTAATAATGGACTTTCCATTCTCCACCCTGTACTCACTGAACTGACCAGGACTCTCCTCCCATAGTGGGGGATACAGATCTGAGAGATTGGCTGCTTCCCCTAAAGAAAGAGAAAAGCAGACAATTAGAACGCAGGCCCAAAAAGACAGGAGAGCCATCGTGCCAAAGCTGGGGATACAGGTTGTGGTCGTCTTTTTATTGGGAAATGGAGGAAGGAATTACTGTATTCATTTGTGTTTGCCAAAAAATTAATCCTGTGTTTGCCAATACAGAACACTGTGTGGCAGTGTTCTTTTCACTGCCAACAATAGAGTGCTAAGAGTGTCTTTCCAACGCAAATAGGATGCTTTATTTGTTAAATAACAGTAATAACACAGTTTGACATTTGTTTCATAGCTATTGAAAATTTATTGTTAATTGAATAAATATTTAATCACTTAGAAAACAGTTATTATATCTACATTGTATTTTATGTCTATGAAATTAAGTACACTCCTGCACATATATCTTTGCCTTACTCATCTGGAAATTTAAACATATGGGCATTTACTTTACAGAAAAGAATAAAGAATTTATATAGCAGACTTGTTGCTGCTTTAAGAAAAAAAAAACCACTGCTTGCAAAGTTGGTCCTTAGCTAGCATTTATATACTTGGTTCTCAGAATTCCTAATCTACAGTCAAGTGACAAGGTTGATTCACTGTTTCTAGGCTAGGCAATCAAGATGGCTTATGCTAAATACTCGTTTTCCTTGTAAAGTCTAAACTTTTGTACATTGACCAACTCCCTAAGTAAACCTGCATGACCAGTCATCAATAAGCAGCATGGGCACTGTGTCTCTAGTGGGCATCTCTGGGTAAGAACATCACACATGTGTTGCTACACTGTCATTACAGGTGGGGAAAGTGTGCTCTATGTGACTGTTCATTAAAAGAAGAAAGCATAAGGAAACCTATATATGCATTACTCCAGGTTCTGCCTGTGTCTTTCTCCTTATGGTTTAGTTGTGAATCTGTCCTGCATCACTGTGAAGAATCTTAGCCATAAGTACATCTGTATGATGAATCTGGGAAGTCCTTTTAAAAATGTTTGAACATGAGTCTTTGAGAGAAAACAGACACCCATTAGTTTATCTCTCACAAAAGGCTCAGAAAAAAACTTTTAAAACATTTAGTATGTTTATTGAATATGAAAACTACTAGCTCTTGTAGTGAATCATGCATCTCTAGATTCTAGAAGAAAAGACAAAGTCTAATAGGCTTGAATTTCAGGCATATAATTTCTAACTCAGAAAGAAATTTATGTTGATTACAATTTCATTATAATGGAATGGGCTCCCTTAAAAACAAAGGCTTTCAAATAGTGTTTGGGGGTTAATGTAGAGGAAATTGATAAATTAGCTGACACATAAAAGAGTTAAATTTTGGATATCCATCCATGTCAAAACTTAAAGAACAGGTCAGGATGGCCTATAACATTACAGGTAAACTACTTGTCAGCAGACACCTTCCAGGATGCCCCAACCTACACTGACTGCAAAACATATCACCAATGATATTAGGGTATTTCTTCCTCATGAAATAAAACACCTTTAATGTAGTGCACAGAAAGTATGAAAATCGATGTAGTAGGAGTTAGAGTAATGTATAAAGATGTACTTTAAAAGATTGATTTAATAGTAATTTCTGCTGCAAGGAAGAAGCTTGAAGTGTGCCTGTGTATGCAATAGACCAACCCAATCTGTGGGCAAAAACTCCTGGTTAATTCCCAATTTTCCTTCTCCCTTAAGATGTTAGCTTGGAAGATGAACACCCAGAATTTAAGCTGTATTTCCCATATGTCTTACAAAAGCAGCCATGTTACTAAGTGCTGGCCACTGGAACATAAGTGGAAATGATACCCATATAACCCTTAAAAAACAAAACAAAAATGAGGACATGCCACTTTCTTATCCCTCCTACTAGAATTTGGCTTAGATTTTGGATGTGATGGCTAAATTTCCATTTTGACATGTAAGGATGATGCTACCATCTTGAGGATGGTAGAGTGCAAAGCTTGAAACTGTCTGTATCCTAAATAACTTGGAGCCATGAGGCATCCTTAAGTCTCTACATCTGGATTTCATCTTGGGGAGATTAACAAGTCTCTATCTTATTTAAACCATTGCTATTTGGGTTTTGCTTATACATTGTTAAAATGATTGCCTCACTATTAATAAGGAGTGCAGCTGGAAAACCCAATTACTAGCATCATTAGGAACATCTGTTTCATGGCAGGACAAGCACATGGTTTATTCCTGGCATGGTCCAGATTAAATGTCCCTTAGCTGGATTCGGCTGCTTCACTTTGTCATCTGACTTACCCAGTAGGCTTCTAGTCACTTAGTGTTCAACTTCCCAAACATATTAATCTGAAAGGGAAGAATTAGAAATTGTTATATTCTGGATCAAGAACACACACATTCTGGTATAAAAAACATATTCCATCTTTAGAAAAAGTGCATATACAAATATATATTAAAAGACATTCTTTTCTAAAACCAATGCCATCATCATATTTAATGGGTCAACCTTAAGAGTATTCCCTTCAATATCATATCATGTGTACCCTCTCACACAACCAATATAATTATAATCATTAGACTTTCCTTTGAAAATACCATACAATGAAGTTAATACAGATAGAGAAATTAGTTATAAAGTAATCATTGAAGAAGTAATATTATCATTTTGCAATTACTATTAAACCCTGTTGTTCACTTAACCTAGTCCAGACCACAATAGCCTGGTCACGTCAACTTCTTCAGTTTGTCCATCTATCTTCTGTTTCAGAGAAATAATGCACTGCACCTTTGAATAATCTATTTGCTCTTTTCATTCTGTTAGATTGTATCTTCCTCTTTCTCATCTCCACTTAACCCTAGTGTACTTTTTATATCAACTCAAGTCTATTCTTCACAAATCTTCCATGCTTTGAATGCAGTAGACACCCTTTCAATGCACTTGATTTTATTCGTCTTTAGCAAATAAGATGTATTCTGAGTATACTCTGAATAGGCCAATGGGGGTGGGGATACAAGAAATTTCATTTACTTTAAAAAATATATATATATTTTATTGATTATGTTAATAGCATCATCCCAATTTTCCCTCCTTTGCCCCCCTCTGCCTGGCACCCCCACCCCTCCAGCAATCCACCCATCCACTTAGTTCATGTCCATGACTCAAACATATAAGTTCTTTGGCTTTTCTACTTCCTATACTATTCTTAACAGGCTCTTGTTTATTTTGTACCTATCAATTATGCTTCTTTTTTTCTGTTTGCCTCCCTTTTTAAAAATTACTTTATTGTTGATCAATACAGTTGTCTGCATTTTCCCCCCACCACTCCCCTCACCACCCCAGCCAATCCCACTTCCCTTCCTTGCTTCCACCCTCCCGCTTGGTTTCATCCATGTGTCCTTTAAATCTTGAAAAGTTCCTGAAAACTCTTCCCCCTAATGTTCCCTCCCACCTCCCCGCTGGCTATTGTTAGATTGTTCTTAATTTCAATGTCTCTGGTTATATTTCGTTTGCCTTTTTCTTTTGTGGATTAAAGAGAAAGGAGGAGCCCCAACCAATTATGCTTCTTAATCCCTGAACCTTTTACCCCATTCTTCCCCTTCCTATTCCCAGCTGATAACTCTCCACGGATCTCTATATCTGTGATTATGTTCCTGCTCTGGTTGTTCCCTTAGTTTGTTTTTCAGATTCAGTTGTTGATAGTTGTGAATTTGTTGCCATTTTAACATTCATATTTTTTATCTTTTTCTTAAATAAGTTCTTTTAACATTTCATGAAATAATGGCTTGGTGATGATGAACTCCTTCAGTTTCACCTTGTCTGGGAAGCACTTTATCTGCCCTTCCATTCTAAATGATAGCTTTGCTGGATAATCTGGTCATAGGTCCTTACTTTTCATCACTGAATACTTCTTATCAGTCCCTTCAACTTGCAAAGTTTCTTTTGAGAAATCAGTTGACAGTCTTTTGGGAACTCCTTTGAAAGTAACTATCTGCTTTTGTCTTGCTGCTTTTAAGATTTTATCTTTAAACTTTGGCATTTTAATTATAATGTGTCTTGGTGTGGTCCTCTTTGGGTCCAATTTATTTGGGACTGTGTTTCCTGGATCTGTATGTCTATTTCCTTCACCGAATTAGAGAGTAACTTAAATAATGAGTCTTTTTCCCTCTGGATACTTGTAGGAATTTCTCTTTATCTTTTGTTTTTAGCAGTTCGAATATATGCCAATTTTTTTAAAATTTATGCATCCTGCTTGATGTTTCCTGTGTTTCATTCATAGCTTTGTATTTTTACATGTGTCATTAATTTTAGAAAATTCTAGGCAATTAGTATTTCAAAGACTTCTTCTGCCTCATTATCTTTTCTTGGTTCATTCTCACTATTCTTTATTTTTTTGTTCATTTAAGTTTCGGTAATATCTATTCACCTATTCACCTGTTTTCAAGCTCACCATTTATTCTGTTGTCACCTCAAGAAAGTATACTGATGGTTATATTGATGAGCCTTTTATAGTCTACTCTTCATCTCTGTCATGATGTAGATTTTTATCATTCCTATTTGTTTATCTCTTATAATTTCTATCTCATTGTTAAAATTACATATGTGATCTTACATGTTAACCATTTTTTCCATTAGAGTCTTTAACATATTAATCAAGATGCTTAAATTCCATTTGAGATAGTTTTGTTACCGAACAACAGGTCTGGGGGGGCAATATTTGGCCCACCTAGGGATGCCAAAAACTGCTGCAGAACAGGGGCCCCTCCCAAGGATGGAATACTAATATCTACTGGGCTCTTCTGTCCGCCGCCAATTAGAAAGACTTCTCTCAATGCCAGAGATTTGTGAAAAGGAAATGAAATGTTTATTTAATGCTATTCAGGCCTAATGCCTCCACTAAAATATCAAAGTCTTTTAGGGTATACATCTACACCCACACAGCGCCCATCCCTTCTCCCTTTGTCCCAACTCCGGGTACCGTAAATCAGGAAAAGAGCACACGTCCCTTTTTCAGGCTGTTGGCACCTTCAGCTGTGTCAGGCAGGCTCTCTAGTTAATCCAAAGTACTGTGAGTGATACCCTCTCATGGTCCACTGGCAAGAGTTCTT